GTTATGACAACAACTAATTTTTATTTAAAAAAATGAGGTTGTCAACATTTTTCGACTTCAGCCTTGACCACCGTCTGTCGAATATTATTAATCTTGCTTTGTCAAATATTCTTTCCTTCACTCTATCGATGTTGGCGGTATGCGAAAGTATTTTTTATGTCGCTCCAGCGAAGGATTTGAGGCATTTTCATCCTCCTATAAATAATAGAAGTATTTAAATAAATATATTATCAAAGTGAGTATATCATATGTATATGCATTTGGATGTGCAACATCATGTACAAATGTACATAATTATTAAGTCAGACTTATTTAAAATTAATATAATTCTTATTTATTTAGGGCTTCAATGTCGTTATTTGATATCGATAAAATAATAACAATAATGATTAATAACAATAATTTATCTTTTTTATTTAAATTTGGGAAAAATCGATCATTAAAATAGTATAATAAAATGAAGTTTTAGTTTAAAGAATTTTCACTTCTTTTTTGTAAAGTATTTATATTATAATATACGGATCATACATATAATTATGTTGAATTACTTTTGTAAATTATTGCCTAAATGTATTCCTATTATCAATTGTTTTGGACTAAAAATAGTGGAGTCTACAGAAATCGCGTGGATACGGCCCGTATACCTGAGCCGATGCCACCTTTCACATAATGAGGACTTCACGCTCCGTACGACAACCGGATCGGCATCAATAATACATTCATACTATTATGTGTACGTATTTGAAACTGTAATGTATTGTAAAACTCAGCGGTGAAACAATCTCATGTTTATACTACACATATGATATCGCCATCGCCTTGGACTCGGTCTGGACTCGACCTGAACTCGGTTCGTGTAAATTATAAATGAACTTTTATACGCATAGCATATTCTTTAATTATTTTAAAAACAACTAATCCAATTGTGACAGTACTTATAGCTCTAAAGATTTTTAGTTTATGTTATCGATTACAAAACACAAAATAATATCGTTAATGTAAATAATATTGTTAAACGGCGACAACAAAAAAATTCCAGACAAGTATTCCTTATTTTGGTCCGCAGATTACACATACGAGTTTACATAAAAATTAATAAAGAATTAATAAAAAAGATTGAGAAAAACGTGTAATTTTAAAAATATTATTTGAATAAATAACCTTTCCGGAAATTTTTTCAAGCGGCTAAATTTGTCGATCGAAATACATAAGCACATTTTGAAATGACTTAATTGTTCTACGCCCTCTAGTTTTCGAGATATCTAAAAAGATATGGTTTTTACCCGCGACTTTGAGGACAAAAACCGATTTCTTTTTATCCTCTAGATATGGATCATTGCAGACATAAAAAAATATATGTCAAACCTTTTTAAACGAACTATATAATACTAAAATTTCATTAAAATCCGCGTGTTACACTTGGAAATGTTTCCTTGTAAGTGCTTAACGTTAAATTTGTGTATATAAAATATTAAAAAATACATATAATATTGAATGAATATTTTTGTAACTCAAAAAATAACTCTGCGATATCATTTAATTTCTAATATTATACTATTAAGTTCTGTTAAGTTAAACATATTATACATATTTCGAAAGTACAATAAACACTGTACCGGGTGATATAAGCTTCAATCAATTACGTTCACCATTACCAAAGATGTATGTAGATCATTAAAATTTGGCGTTGCTTAGTGTCCGAATATTTTTGTGAGACACTGTATGTAGTGTCTCCCCGGTGAGGAAACAGGCATTGGCTGGTTTCACGAATCACTTATATTTATCCTATGGTGGGGCCCCGATGACGAAATAGGCACCGGCTAGTACACATAATTTCTTACCAACACACGGAACTTAGACCTTCGGCCATGTAGAATCGCTTAGCCCTTGGCACAGTAGGGACGTAAGAAAAATCTCTTGAGTTCGTATTCGTTTAATCTTCGTGCTGTGCTTATACTTTGAAAAGTGTCGTGATTTAAACATTTTTTGGTCGATCATAGATAGTGATCAGGTACGTTTTAATAAATGATTTGTCGTCATAGATCTTTCTAATTAAGCAAGAAATATTCTAACGCTGTATGAATGCAAAAAAAAAAAAAATGTCATACTATATATAAGTTTAAACATTTTGTGGGAGATCATAGATAGTAAACAACTACGTTTTAATAAATAATTCGTCATCATAGATCTTTCTAATTAAGCAAGAACATATTCTAACGCTGTATGTGAAATAATAGTCCAATTGTAGTATGGTCAAATGTGCCCCCCAACCGAATTGATCATTGTCCAGACCATTCGATAGACCACTTTCCCTGAATTTTTTCAAAATTTTGTAGTGACTAGAAACTTGGCTGAGAGGATGTTCCTTGAGTGGTCTATTGAATGGCCTAAGTATAAAAGTTAATTAGCTTAAGGGCATATATGACCATCTTATCTGTTACTAATACACTTGTTAAAACTTACGTAACCGCTATTAGCAATCTTACAGATCTGATGTTTATTGCATTATTATAAGTTATTATTGACATAAAAGTGTTAAATAAACAATCAAAATTAAAATTCTTACTTCACACATCAATAGTGAAAGGGTACAAGTTCGATTAGATAATAGCAAGTGTATTAAAAACGTTTCTTAAAAACTTTATCCGTTATAGCGGCCACCGGGAAAAGTGGGAGGACCACGCTGACCTACATAGAGGCTACTATGGGCTAGGGACCGGCAATTCTGACCTCCAAATGAAAAAAAATCGATTCTGAATCGCAGCGACAAAGATCGATTCACTAGAAAATCGAACTTTGAAAAATCTATTATAAAAAAAATCGATCGAAATACTATTTATATACATATTCATACTTTAAAGATTATTTCTTTATCGTGGAACCCGATTTTGTAAATCGGACCTAAAATGCAATGCTTCAGTTCTTATGACACTTTAGAACCAATTTACAAAATCAAGTTCTTCAATTAAAAAAGTAATGCAATATTAAGTGTATAATATATATAAATTTAATACTATCGAGATATCAATACTGTCTAATGGTAAAATACTGCATATAAATTTTTAAATTAGATTGGCATGTTTATTTATTTATTTATTTAAAACTTGAAAAAACGAAGAATTATCAATAATCATTCATTTAAAGGTAATAAATTTAGGAAATCCGGCAATATCCGGCGATGTACGATTTATTCTATAATAGTTAATGGCATTATAAGGACTTTGAATCGAAGATCTATTCGTAATTTTAAAAAATCGACCATCCCAACCATGAATACGTTGATATACGAGGATTCATTGTAGTAGTAGCTTATGTATTTCATTAATATCTTGAAAATTACTAAATGTCCGAAGCTAATACATATTTTGTATTTGAGGTCCTCCCGCCCCTTCAAATGTGATCTTAAATCGACGGTAGATCTCTTTCGAAAGTATATCCAAATAAAGCCGATGCGACGATTTCGAAGAATGCAAAATACTAACAAGACATGGCCCTTATACGGAAATTCAAAAAATTCTGAAATTTTAGGGATATGTAGAACATATGTAGATATGTATTACGCAATTTTTTATTCTTACGCAAATTCACTTTACGGGGTGGAAATTAACCCCCAAATATTCGGCTATTTTTTATTTCATTGCTATAATTCACAAACTGTGCAAGATAGAAAAAAAATCTTCAAACTATTTTGTATGAAGACTTTTTTCTATCTTGTGCCATTCGCACAAAAAAAATAAAAAGGATAGTCGAATATTTACAGGTTAATTTCCACCTCTTAAAGTGAATGTACGAAGGAATAAAAATGTGTGTAAAATACATTTACATTTGCTCTACATATCCTCAAAATTTCAGAATTCTTTAAGTTTCCAGGTTGGAGATTATCGTTTCGTTTATTTGAATCAGATAATGAGATATACAGTCAGTGTAAAAAGTGATCGTACGTCTTTTAAAGGGAAATAACTATTTTTATAATTGTACTAAACGATCTAAATTTGTTTGGGATGTTGGAGGGATTAGTTTTCAATGGCTAAAAAATTATTTTCAAAGATTGCAATTGGTGGAGATGATACAAAAATTTAAAAATGATGCATCTTCAACTTTTTTATTTGAGCCTACAAGCTACAGCCACTGAAATGTGTAAAAATTGCCTGTTTTTGGCTGAAATTCGTGAAGAATTGCTATTTTCACGAACTTTAAATGTTAACAGGTCATAACAACGTTTATAATATCAATTTGCTCCAGGTAAAATTCGCTCTTCAATTATACTTAGATTAAATAATTAGATCAAAAATCTAACTTGGTTCAATTATGTCGCTTTATGTAGAGAATGATTTCGTCAAAACTAATTACACAGCATTAAGCATCATACTTCTAGCCAATAAAGTCATCTAACACATAGTTTAACTCTATGAAAAATACCCCTTTAGAAACCAATGTGCCTTAATACTTTTTTTGTAGAGAGTAAAATAATGCATTCAGTTGTACATCAAAAAGTGTATAGTTCCATTTAAAAAAATACAAGTGACCTTGAAATCATCGAAACCCCTCTACTTACAGGGTATACACGTATACCTGCATTTATAGTAATAGGATACCTCGATCACTCTACACTCCAACGAAATTGTATCATATTATACGTCACGTATAACAAAAAGTATATAAGTTTTTAAAGCTTAAAACTTAATAAGTTTATTAAGTTTTTTACAATCCAGTTATTATCACTCGTATATAATATATAAGAGATACAGTTTTACATGTTCTTCGGGTCGTAAAATTCGATTTTGGTAATCAATTTTATGTAAAAAAAAACTTATTTTCATAAATAATTATTTAAAATTGTTTACAAAATTATTTTACATAAAATAGGTTTTGTCGCAGGGGTTACTGCGACGGTTTATATAAAATAATCCGAGAGAGTTTTTTTTGGTTTTTATATAACGAGAACTTTAATATAACTTGTAAGAGTTATTAGAATTAATTCTGAGTTTTAACCATTTCAGTTCACTGTGCGCCATTTCCTACAATAAAGTATCATCCCGACCCTGTGTTGATGAATTGCAACGAACGAGGTTTGTTTCCCTAAATGATCTGTTGACTGAAAATACAACGAGAGGAAGTTACGTTACTCTAAAAATTTACTGGCGAACTAGAACGCGTTCACTCGCGAATGCTTCTCTGTCAAACGGTATGTATATAAAGCCTGAGCTTTATTTCTTATTATTTTATATTGTTCCTATTCTATTGTATTATTTATCTATTATTTTCAGAAGTATGGAAATGCAGTGCAACAAAATGAGTGCACCGAATATGGTAGGACATACTACTAGGAAACGTAATGCGAATAGACATCTAAAGGGGAAACCGTCGAGTGCTCTTCGCCTTTCAGCACCACGATACAGTAAAAGAAAGTTATTACAAAAGATGTAAGCATACATTTGCATGACTATTAAATTTCATATAAGATATAATTGCTTTGAAAATGATCACGCCGTCAGAAATGGTATACATTACTAGCTCTAACTCCTGCTTGGCTTTTGTCGCAGCTTGCTATTTAGTAGAGTGCGAATTGTTACATACAGAGAGTTTTACTGTATAATCTTCGTTTCGACGTTGAGTGCATTGACTCTAGAGAACCTAATTTGTACGCCCAAAATATGCAACTCTCCAATGGAAGTGTAACATGAAGTACGTCTGGGAAAGTCTGTTTAAGAATGCATGTAGACCATAACTCTGTCAATAACACTGTCCGACAAAATCAAACTTTTTTTCTGGGTTCCTATAGCCACTGTGAAATTCTCGTAGAGCTTCACTCCTTGAACAAGAATTCGAAAACCGAATTGCTCCATCACCCCCAGTTTTTTAAATAAACGAACTTTTGTAAAAATCCAAAATTTTCGACAAAAATGAGGTATTGCATGAAAAGTAAAAACGTTAGAAAGTTCTAATTGGTGTTAAAAGATAGAGGAGAGTTTCCCAAATATAGTGGCATGCAATTTATTAATTGTTTTTGGTTCTAAATAGCAATGAATTGATGTCAAAGTTTAAAAAAGTGTCGACGTGCGCAGTTTCTCCGCAATATTTTTGTATTTTTACGAAAAGTTCTTTGTTCAGCACGAAAACTCTACCCAGGATCGGATTCTGTAGACATTTCTTCGCTGCTCGCTTCTCTCTGTCCGAAAAATAGGTTATTTTGTGATTATTGATCGATAGTATTTTAATATTGAAGGTAAACTTATCTATGAAGGTTGTCTTCAGTAATAAAATAATAAAGTTTGTTTTTACTGTACTAATATCATTGAAAAGAACGAATAGGAGAATATTGGAAAGTCATTGGAGTGATATAATTTATTTATTATAATCTATTTATAATATTTATTATAATTTATTTATTTATTTAGATATTAACATAAGATAAATAGTTGTATATAAATAACAATACGAATTATATGATAATAAACTTATGAAAGAAAATAACAGAAAATAAGTTAGATTTAAATGTCTAATTGATCTGGATCAAAATTAGATTAGATTTTAAATTTGTTTTTTAAGTTTTATATCGTAAGTGAGATGTAGGGTCAAATTGAGATGTATCAATCGTTGAAACATATCTTCATTTATCGTTAACCGAGAAGTTTTTCTTGCATGGTCTTCTTTATACTTTTTTACTATTTTATGTGTGGCTTCAAACATTTCTTCTGAATACATATAAATTGGTAAAATACAATTTTTGACCACAGAGGACCCGTGTATTAATATTTTATTGTATACTGACGAGAGTACACATAAACCGGAGACAATACAGAGGCAAACATTTAGGCAGTATCGATGCAATATTTTTTAAATTCATTATTGAAAATGGGTGTATGATAAATCATTCACTGTAATACTTGTGATAAGAGTAGATGTAGAGAGCAGTGTTTTCGACCGCCGCAGCGGTGGTATAAAAGCTCGAAATCATGGTAAAAATAAGAAATAGTGACGGATTTATTTGAAAATTTGTATGTAAGGGTTTTCGTGGTTGCTGATTGCGAATCTGAATTTCAAAATTCCAAAAACAAAATGGCGGATCAAATATGGCGAACGGGTTGTTGAAAAAATGATTTGATTTTAACAAAAAGTGGTGAACATATATCTTCAGGAATCCTGATTACGAATCTGAATTTCAAAATTCCAAAAACAAAATGGCGGATCAAATATGGCCGATGAGTTGCTGAAAGAATGATACGCGGAGCTGTATTTTATTGGCCTACAGTAGCTGAAAGATTGAAGATGAAATTTTGTTAGGTATTCTTGCCGTATTAAGAGTATATATTTTGAATTTTTCATAATCAATCTCGTGGCCGCTTGAAATAACTTGTAACACAACATAGAATTTTGTTGGAAGAAGGACGACCGCTTAAATTTCTGATTTTTTTGCTAACGCAGGCAGAAGGCACTCGAAAAACTACCGATTTTGCCAGCCATTTTTCAAATTTTGAGAACAATCTTTGTTCCATCCGGTGTGCGTTCCTCCATTTGCATCTCAAGGCAGAAAATAATTTTTTCATGGCTTGTGCATGTCATCGTTCATGTCGACCACAAATCCTTCTTGTTACAATATTTTTTGCTTAAAATATTCTATTATTGAATTATTGAAGTTATTAAACTATTATTAAATTATTAATTAATTATTATAAATAATATAATTATTAATTAAACTTAATTATTATGATTATTATGAATTAAATAAATAATTATTAATTAATTATTAAACTATTCAAGTTTTCATTAATAATAAGGAGCACTTCTTTCCTAGTTAAACAGTATTGTCACGAGATCCTAGAAATAGAAAACCAAAAACTGAAACATTTTTTTCAATCTAATAAATTTCATTTTTTTCAAAATAATTTTCGACATTGCCTAATAAAGTGTTTTTTCTAACATCTCTAAAAAATGTAAGCAATTTGGCTCGATTTGTAGAAAGTTATTCTATCTTAGATACTCTCGCGAGACAGTTTCCCATACGTTGACTCACAAAAATGGTTGTAACTGAAAAAAGTGCAACGTGATGCAGCCAATTTTTTAAGTGCAGCTCGATGAAACTCTAAACTATGGCTCCAGTAAGTTTGAAAGCAGGCTCTCACAAGCTGCAAAAGTTTCGAATATAATTTTATAGTAAATGCATTCCATTTGCTCTTATAATTTGAATCTACAATTTATCGATTTACTAATGTAATAGTAAACAATTCGTGAGATGTTAGCGGTACAAAATGTTGTACTTATCAGCAGGAACAATATCCATTTTACACGATTGAAAAAAAAAACATTTTCACAAAAAGATACTTTCGGTCACGTTCACGAGTAATGACTGTCCAACAAACTCGAAATTCGAAGTGCAATTGTCATTCAGGTATGAAAGTATGGGTCATTTCGTTTTTTCCACCACACGGACGCATCATTAAACTAACCAATCCGTAAGTCAAAAACTCCTCAACGACAACTTCGATTTTTAGGATTTTGGCCATGATTTCAGGCTTTTATACCACTGTGCGCCGTGACGTGGCCAATCACAAACGTGAGTGCATCCCTAGCAACCCTGCTGCTCTCTATCCCTACTCTGCTGAACTGCTTATCCGTGACGTCACGGATGGAGTCACCTGATATTCGAGGGAGTTCACGCCCAGTGTTCGCAGGAAAACTGACTACGCAAGGAGTGGGATCGCAGATCAGAATTATAACGCTCACTTGATAGATGTGACACGCTGCTGTGCGGGACTCCCACGCATGCGTCGCCTGCCGCCACTCCTTGCGTAGCTAGTTTTCCTGCAGACACTGGTCGCAGCCTTAGTTCTGTTCGCTATCTTTGACACTTGTGCCAGCTGATCTCGTCTCTGGTTGGTCAGAGTTTTTCGTTAATGACTTGTAAATAAAGTCGCAAATTGCATTTGCGTCAATGAAAAAGTTACTTCAAATGCTCTCAGGAGTCAGTTAAAATATCTCAGCTATTAAGGACCAGTATTCCCCGAAGAAGAACCAGGCCATAAGTTTAGATGCGGTCGAAGGGTATACTATTAATGATTATATCAAGGAATTAATAAAACTNAGTAAATGCATTCCATTTGCTCTTATAATTTGAATCTACAATTTATCGATTTACTAATGTAATAGTAAACAATTCGTGAGATGTTAGCGGTACAAAATGTTGTACTTATCAGCAGGAACAATATCCATTTTACACGATTGAAAAAAAAAACATTTTCACAAAAAGATACTTTCGGTCACGTTCACGAGTAATGACTGTCCAACAAACTTGAAATTCGAAGTGCAATTGTCATTCAGGTATGAAAGTATGGGTCATTTCGTTTTTCCCACCGCACGGACGCATCATTAAACTAGCCAATCCCTAAGTCAAGAACTCCTCAACGACAACTTCGATTTTTAGGATTTTGGCCATGATTTCAGGCTTTTATACCACTGTGCGCCGTGACGTGGCCAATCACAAACGTGAGTGCATCCCTAGCAACCCTGCTGCTCTCTATCCCTACTCTGCTGAACTGCTTATCCGTGACGTCACGGATGGAGTCACCTGATATTCGAGGGAGTTCACGCCCAGTGTTCGCAGGAAAACTGACTACGCAAGGAGTGGGATCGCAGATCAGAATTATAACGCTCACTTGATAGATGTGACACGCTGCTGTGCGGGACTCCCACGCATGCGTCGCCTGCCGCCACTCCTTGCGTAGCTAGTTTTCCTGCAGACACTGGTCGCAGCCTTAGTTCTGTTCGCTATCTTTGACACTTGTGCCAGCTGATCTCGTCTCTGGTTGGTCAGAGTTTTTCGTTAATGACTTGTAAATAAAGTCGCAAATTGCATTTGCGTCAATGAAAAAGTTACTTCAAATGCTCTCAGGAGTCAGTTAAAATATCTCAGCTATTAAGGACCAGTATTCCCCGAAGAAGAACCAGGCCATAAGTTTAGATGCGGTCGAAGGGTATACTATTAATGATTATATCAAGGAATTAATAAAACTGACCAAACCTACAAATATAAGATTGCATCTGTATATACTTGGCAACTAAGGAAATAACTAATGAGTTAGTAGAAAAGGCAAAATATATAACTCTTGAAAACAACAACGTGCAAATCAGAACTCTAATATCCAAAGCCAAGCGGATAATCCTCTCCAATGTTTGTCCGATTATACCTCATGAAATCATAGAAAATGACTTAAAAGGGCTCACAATAAGATTAGAGTCTAACATCTCTTTCATAAAAACCAGAAGCAACGAACCTGACTGCTCACATATTATGAGCTTTAGGGGACAGGTTTTTGTCCACCCAGATGACATGACATGATGAACACCTTTAGCCCATAATACACCACTACGAGAATTGCACACATCAAGTAACAATATGCAAGAAGTAACAACGCATTATGTTAATAGAAATATATTAACTATTAACAAATTCCCAAAACACTTTTATGGAAGACAATGCGACAGGAATTTAAATGAGCTCTCTCTTCAACGACAGAATCATTCTCCGTAACCCTTACAATGGATTTATGTGATAATCATTCCGGGTCTTAATCAAGCATTAACTCTATTCTTCCCAGTAAACAATGAAAGTAAAGAAAAAGATTTAAACAATCTACCCAAAAAGTAACTCAAAAGACGGAAAACAGTTAACCATTCAATAGTAAAAGAAAACATTGACCAATTCTTAGATCCAATTGAAAACAAAATGTTAGAACTACAAGACCGGTACCATATCTCTTACAATAATTTTAAAAGCTTCTTGGATAAAGCTGCAGAAATCGCCGGTGCTACGTAAAAAATACACTACAATTTAGCTAAAATGATGTGAGAACTATTCCCCCATCTTATAGATCGCAGTATTAAGAACCAATTCAGTCGAATAATAAAAAAAAAGAAAAGAAAAAAATTAAAGAAGATAATCTAGAAAACACCCCGCTCGAAAATATCCAATTATCATCAATATTATAATAAACAAGGAGGACTAGGTAATATTAATGTACATAAAATTAGTACAATGGAACATCAATGACTTCCATGTTAGATATATAAATATTCAAAGACTACAGAAACAAATTTACCAAAAACAGGATTTAAATTTTCTTCCGATAAATCAGAAATAAATAAGAATACAAATAAAGTTCAGATTCGTATTAACAATAAAAATATCAATCAAATGAACAAAATAAAAATATTAGATTTAATCTTCAATAAAAAAAATGACTTGGAAATTTCACACCATGAAACTTAAAGAAGACTGCACAAAAACATTAAATTTACTTAAATCTCTTACGGTAAAAAATTGGGGATCAGATTACAGTATATTCCTAAATAAGTAATACTACCTAATATAATAGATTATGCCTCAATAATCTATGGAATAGGCAAAACAGCTCAATGTCTAGATACTATTCAAAATGCCGAGCTGAGGATAGCATTGGAAGCATACCACATGTCCCCAATAATCAGTTTACAAGCAGAAGGAAATTTACTACCCTTAGAATATCAAAGGAAGAAGCTAATATGTAACTATATATGTAAATTAACAACTAACTCTGCTAATTCAACTCACAAAATACGCTGAAAAATTCTGCCACAAAAAACGCCATATTCCCTTCACTATCAGAATAGACAAAATTCTCAAAGAATTAAATATCCCTTTTCCGAATGTTAAACAGAAATTACCGCCACTTCCCCCGTAAATCATAATTAAGCTACTTAGAGATCAAACCACAAAAGAGTTCAAACAAGGTAGTTAATCATACATTTATTAAATTAAATGACGACATACAATCACTGGAACTGTTATTAATGACAGAAAAATCAAGTACAAATTTCCTGTTACACTTTCAATAAAATCCTGTAGTATCTACATTGTTCTTCTCGTAATAAAAAATTTAAAAATTGAAAAAGAATACTTCTATATAATCTCGGTCGACAAACCCAACATAATCAAGGAAGTAAAAAATTCCTTCAATTCTAACAATCTAATCAGTGATTTGCAAAACGAGTTATATAGACCAAAATATAATCCTCTGCGAAAATAAATACGTAAAAAAGCAGAGAAATTAACGGCTGCTTAGTTATCTGTGATATGTGAAAACCTTAGTTGAGCAATTAAATGGAGATTTTTGGCAGATTCGTTATCGAACTTCTACTTCAATCTTCTGTTTCAAAGATAACAACTTGAATGGAAACTGCATGTCATTCTAACAAGAAATAGGAAGGACTGCAGGCTCTGTTCTCAACGAAATGAGTTTGGCAAAATGAATCCGGTGACAAGCAGGGGATGCATCATTGAAATTGCTTTATAAAACAACATTCTAAATAACAGTACAATGACTAAAATTTAAGGAATTTTTTCCTTGAGATATAAATACACATGAAATATTAAATATAAATATTTTATACATTAAGTTGTATGTGCACTCATTCTAAATTAGCGGTAAGTAATTCATCAAACTTACCGCGAAACTTCTCGTGTTCCTTTGGTGTAACAAATAGAGCAAATACATTCATTTGATGAATCGTTCCCTAGATAAAAATGACTAAATATCGTTAACATCTTTTTATATGTTGCTTTTTCAGAATGAGATACCCAAAAAAAGGAAAGCGTCCTTTGAACAATACTACCGGTAATGCAGCAAATATTTCCATAAATGAAGATAAGAATGCAATAAACACGTCAGCTGAAGTAACCGAGGAATTTCGAGAGGAAAAGTCTGGAGATTCTACAATCACCGAAACAGCCGCTGTCGGGTAAACTCTACTCTTTGTGCTATTTCATCGTTGATATCAATGATCTTGAATTCAAGATCATCATCTTGAACAACTTTTCCGTATATGTGTATATGTGTTTTCGCCGCTTGGCTTCGTTTCAGAGATATTTACAAAAATATTTCTATATTTGCATGTTACCGGCAATGTATGAAATGCAGGCATTCTATAGAATACAATATCATGAAATACTACATATTTCAATGTCTTAAAAATCGGTGAGGAGGTACTTTTCTAAATATGTCGGCACAAACGCCGATCTATTGGTACCAACGTAGCACTAATCATATGTATGAACAACTAATAAATGAAAGGTTTCTTATCATGTGTCATATAATCAAAGTCGAGTAATAGTACCTTATCAGAGAATTAATATAAAAAAGCACAATTCTTTGTTTTCGAGAAATCTTTAATTTTCCGACATTTTTGGTTTTTCATTTTTGATAACCACAGATTACAACCGAAAGATCTGAAAAAATTCTATAACGTGCGGCTTGATGTCCAAAATAAGACATATTTTTTTTCAAAATTTTAGGAAGCCATCGAAGGGGGGAAATGGGCAGAAAAGCGCGAAATCTAATTTACCCTGTAACTACCCTCACAAGACTACTACCCTCACTACACTAACAAGTTACAGAGTAGAAATTTTGCATAGATGAATTTTTCTTGGTCAGTTGTCGAACGGTATAATCATTAAAAAACCTCTAAGGGCTATTTTGACCATCTTAATCGGCTAGGTCCTTTATTTATTCGATGAATCGTCCCTCAGATAAAAATGATTAAATATTTGCATATTGCATTTTCAGAACGATTCAAAGGATTCCGCTGTATAACACAGCAAATAACGCATCAACAACTTTCATAAATGCAGATGGAAATATAATCAACATGTCAATTGAAGATGGAAAAAATGAAATTCTTGATCTAGTGACTAAGGATTTTAAAGAGGGAAAACCTGAAGATTTCACATCCAACGATACAGCCATCGACGAACAAAATTTCGTCGTAGAAAAAATAAAGCTGGAAGAAAAGCAAAGATCAAGCATTGAAACAGGATTAAGCATCGTGGACATGGAGTATGTTTTCGAGCAAATAAAAAATATCGGAAATCATTCAAAAACATTCGAATGTTCGACGAGACATTTGGAGGTAAAGGCCATAAAGCGCTTGGGATTGGAAACCATTATCACCCTCGAATGCAACATGTGCCATTATACAAGTGAAGTGTATAGCGAATCCAGAAATCATAAATCACTAGACATTAATTTCGGCCTGGTCGCCAGTTCGCTAACTTGTGGTGGCGGTTATGCTCAAATAGAAAATATATTATCAGGAATGAATATTCCCTGCATATCTAGGACGAAGTATCGTCAGTATCACGATAACGTTGTAAAATTATGTATCGAAACTGCAGAAGCAGAAATGATTGCAGCGGCCGAAGAAGAAAAACAATTAGCCATTGCTAGAGGCGATATTTTATCATCCGGAATCCCGTTCATCCCCGTCGTGGCTGACGGAAGTTGGATGAAAAGATCGTACCATTCTGGAAATTACGACTCCATATCCGGTGTTGGTGTAATAATTGGACATTTCACCAAGAAAGTTTTATTTATTGGGGTCCGAAACAAGAAGTGCGCCATTTGCTCCAATGCTGCTAAGAGAGGGGTAGAACCAAGGAAACATGTATGCTTCAAAAACTGGGGACAGAACGAAACATCGACGAAAATGGAGAGCGATGCCATTGTCGAGGGTTTCACGACCAGCATACAGAATAGAGGTCTCGTCTACTCAGTATTAATTGCTGATGGCGATAGCAGTTCGTACAAGAAGATTTTGGATTGTGATCCATATAAAGCGGAGATGGTTCGTGTGAAAAAGATCGAATGCACGAATCATATGCTACGCAGATTCTGCGGCAAACTGAGGGAAGCTGCTAAGAAGACTCCACCCGGCAATTATAGAAAAGCCGTTGAAAACACTATTCTTAAAATGCGCATAGCTGTAGTAAAAGCTACGAAATATAGATTGAAAGAAAATGTTCCGCTCGATCAGAAAATGAATAATCTACGCAAGGATTTAATGAATATTCCCAGTCACGTTTTCGGGGAGCACAAAGAGTGTCGAGAACTAGGGTACTTTTGTGATCGTGCCATAAACGGTGATAAAGATAACTTGGTGCCACATCTAACGAAAATTGGTACATATTCTCGGATTCAAGAAATCTTTCAACCACTACTAGCACACGCTGAAAGTCTATTATATAACGGCAATAATAACATAGCGGAGTCTTTCAACTCCGTTATTGCCAAATTTACTGGCGGTAAGAGAATTAATTGGGGTATGAGTGGATCGTATACAGCGAGATGTGCCGCTGCGGTTATCCAGTTTAATACTAAGGCAGTATTATCTCGTATAATCCAGGCTACGGGAAAGGAGACGCCGTCTGTTATGCGAAAAGTTGAAAGAGAGAAAGCACGGAGAGCACAGAAAGACAGAGAAAGTTCTAAAAGGAGAGCGCGGAAACTATTTCATCTGACAGTGGATTCAGATTATGGACCAAATGCAGACAAACCTGATATGGAGGTAGATACACCTCATTTAGAATTGCAAACACATATGGAAATACTGCCGAATTAGAATAATAATAGGGAAATCATTGCAAAAGATTATCGTAGAAGTGTATCCGACGACGCAATGTCACACCGTGTCGTAGGATGGTATAATCCTCGATGTCTTAATTCTATTTTTGGAGCAGCTCTGAACGGCGTGCTCGATGACAACGTTCGGTATCGTCAAATTTAAATATCCAAAAATGACACTGGATTTTTCGTCAGGAGAAGTGATACAATTCCCAAAGACAATTTCCAAATTCGCAGAATCTTTAAGGATGATACGCAGCGCATCCACGTTTCTCTCAGGGACAAGAATAGTTGCACATAACAGATAAAAATATTGTGGTTTGTATTTAGATGCTAACTTTTTGAAATGTTTGGGTACTGGAATTTAAATGCTCGCGTAGCAGAGTAGAGTTTGACTTCGGTGAATTGACTCAAGCACGACTCAACAAAATATGGAAACAGATATAGCGATCGAAAGGAATAATATGGATGAAGTCCGTCGTGCATCAACGATCGAGGCATTTAAATGAACACTGTGATCACCCAGAAATAAATCTACAATAAAAAAATTTAATTTTCAGTAATTATTGCTTTATCTTTATACATGTAACATAGATGGGTAGCTAAAACTTCTTCGAATAAAATGAGTCCAAACATGGTGCAAATTGTACTATTTTTATGAATTTCATGTAAATAACAAAATTAAGATGTACGAATGCTTAAGTTTATAAACTTTTCTAGACGAAACTAGTCTGCTTTTTAAATCGCGTTTGGTCTCATTTTTATTGGAAGGATTTCCGACAATTCACTAGTACCATATGTAGTATCCAAAATTGTTTGTTACCGTGTATAGCGTGTACGAAAGACGGAATTCATCCGCATCACCTGTATTCTTGTTTAGCTCCTTGTCGAGGAGCGGGCGCTAGAATGAGTACGTGTATGTGCGTGAGGATGGGAAACGAGCGCGACGAATGTGCGAGTACGAGTAGTGTTGCCAGGAAATGTATGGCGCGAGTGGAAATCTTGGTTTGCACATTCTTTGATCTCCACATCTATGAAATATGTTAATAAGCGCTATATTCTAAGCAATTTTTACCTTTGAACCAAAAACCTATTTTAATTTCTGGGATATATGCAAAAAAACTGTTGCTACTACTATGTCGAGTTAGCGGCGGCTACTTCCTATACTTTACATGATTATTTTTTGGTAACATATTCATTATTGTTATTTTTAATTAAATCTTGCTTTAAACTGACATGTACAATTCATTTTTCATATAAATTTTATAAATTGTTCTGTATTGATAAGACCGCATAAACATAAAATCTAAAAATTAGATTTTAATTAATTATTACTTTTGTGTTAAGTTGCCCTTGATTCGTTTATCATTTTTTAATAATTTTTTGTGAATTAATTGTAAATTCTTTGTGTAATTATATTTTTGTTTATAAGTGTTAAAAAATAGATCCTACAACTTATTCATTATTCAAAAGTACACATATATAACACCTTAGCGTATAATATTAAAAATTTGGGCGTAAATATATTATTTCAGTCAGAAAATGTACCCCGGTCTGGCAGCTGATAATCATAAGTCTCGAAGTGTTGTTAGGTTGGGAATAATTTTTGCTCCTTCTTGGTGGAATTTAATTGTTAGGCCTCGGTGTAAATGTCTGTGTTTGGGTAACTCTTCTGGAGTATTTTAGCCAGTTTTCCATATCTGCAGTCAAAGCTTGAGAACCTTCCTGAGAGTTTTCGGCTGAAATGGTATTATCAGACTTCCAATCTCTCTCCTCCGATTCACGATATATGTGGATATGGCAGAATGTTCTTCCTCTTGAATTGCAATCTTTCTGGCCATTAGAGTGTTATATTTGTATCGAATGTCATATTTGAGTTCGTCCAGTGCTTGTGTGAATCTCAAATTAAAGTTCATGATATTCTCTGTCATGCCTTGTCTTGTATTCTGTAGTTTATTTCGGGTTGACATAACTATACTCGAAGCAGTGACAGTGTGTCTGAGTACATCATATACCTGGTCATAGTTTTTTCTGCGGAGATAACGTATTGTTCTTTCGGCATGGTCGGTTATTTTCCCAACTATTACACTGTTTGATAAAAATTTTGCCTTTCAATAACTGCTGGATAATCCTTCTAGAATCATACTCCCTGAAATAAGAATCTAGGAGACAAATTGCTGTATCAACCCTAGTTTTCGAAAAATACGAGCATTTGTAAAAACCCAGAATTCTCGACAAGAATATGGTATTGCATGAAGAGTAAAAATATTAGAAAATTCAAATTGGTTTTGAAAGATGGAGGAGAATTTCCCGAATATGGTGGCATACAATTTATTAATTGTTTCTGGTTCTATATAGTTATAAATGCATGTCAAAGTTTAAAAAAGTGCCGACATGCGTAGTTCCTCTGCAATAATTTTGTATTTCTACGCATAGTTATTTGTCTAGCACGAAAATTCTACCCTAGATTGGATTCTGTAAACATTTCTAAAGAAGAAACTGTCCGATAGAAATGTCGGGCAGGCCGAAAAATCGCCGGCATCGCGCGCACGACGTTTTGCCGCCATGCTCGTAGCTATGCGTAATCAACACTGATAGAGGAATTTAATGTACATCCACTTTCTAACGTTTTTACTTTTCATGCATACATTATTTTTGCCGAAAATTCTGGGTTTTTACAAAAGTTCTTGTTTTTCGAAATCTGGTGATAATACAGCAATTCGGCTTCCGAATTCTTGTTCGGGGAGTGAAGTTCCACAAGAATCACCCAGTGATTATTGGAAGACAGCAAAAAGGTTAGAATAATACATGCTTATCTTCGTCTCTACCCTGAGATAGGTCAATGATTTTTTTGTTGCTTGTTGGCATTTTCCAAGGCAACATTTTCATTTAGAGTGATTATTGACTGCTACAGCAAGTTATTTTTTGAGACCCACAAGTGCTACATAAGAAATGCTCTAAGACAATGAATATAATAAAATTCCTAAGAGCTGTTGAGTGGGGAGTCCATACAAACATCCTACTTCTTATTATAATACAAGGAACTGATTAGATCTTATTGAATTATACTTAGTTATGGAAATAACTTTAATTCTTTTCACTATTTGAACTTTGATTTAATTAAAGAAGATATAAAATATGTTCTCCCTTTATGAGATGTCTGCGTTAACTGACATGATTCAACTCAGTAAAAACAATAACGATCAGAAAAGACAAAATCACATGCCTTCACAATTAAATCATATCAGGTGGTAAATAAAAAAACTATTTGCTAGATTGATTTTTGTATTTTGATAATAAATTGCAATGGGGCTAAAGCCTTTAGTCATAATGCTTCTTTAACAACCTCAAACAAAGCCAAACATTCACCCTCAGTAGATGATGCTGCCAGACAATTGCTTTTTTGAATTCCAAATAATTGTACATTTTTCAAATAATTTAAATATATATCCTGTTGTACTTTTTCTATCGCAAATATTACCTTCCTAATCTGAATCGACATACCCTATCAAAATATTATTGCTATTGTATTTACGTCTTGTATATGTTAATTTAATATCTATAGAACCTTTTAAATATCTTAAACTGCTTCTGAGGCAATTCCACAATTCTTTATTTCTCTTATTTGTATATCGACTCAAAAACTAATAGTTACACACAAATTAGGTCGTGTATGCACCATTATATA